GATTGTGTTCTTGACTCATCATTTCATCCATCATGAATTGGAAGCCTAAATAAAACTAGACTTAAATGGGCTACAGTATGTGTATCAGTTTTTGTGTTACATCATATTTAATTAGTCCATGGAGATTAAACTAATCTACTTTCTGATAGGATTTATCAGCGCTAAATGCTTTTAGCGCTCTGAAGCACAGCAATCAATTTTGAAACTGTAGGCCTTACAGAAATGTAAAATGGAACGCCTACTTTTCTATAATGTCAGTAATAATGTAATGATGTAATGATGTAAAATTATACCACTGTATTTTATGCCTCCCACATCCACTCAGACTATTAATTATATATTAACTGTAAGAGAGTAGGCCTGTATTTGACAAGTATACAGTATTATTGTTATTACTGACGTCTTTGCAACAACAGTACTTGTCAGTAAATGGTCATTTAAAATGTGTACAGAGGTATTGCTATGTTTGTAGAAAGCAAAAGTGCGTTATCTCTACATTCACAACACATCACCGGTCTCTAATCAACAGCAACCTTCACTGAACAAACAGACGGTGTAAAGATGTTTTAAAATAAAAGTATGACAAACCAGTTAATTTTGGCCTTCTCATTGAAAAAAGCCAATTGAGATGTACACATTTGATAGGAGTAACAATAGATCAAATGTCAAATCTTATTACAAAGTGTTCAAGCTAATGCTGCATCCAGAGTTATTGTAGCATCTTTACTCTTGTAAGAGATGTATTAGTCAGACATTCTGTCCCACTTCCATTTTAAACAAGTTCTAAAACAATACTTTTGTGACAGTAAGTGTTAACGAGTGTATAACCGTATTACTTTAAATTACACTATTGATTGATGCATTTGATTTTATGTACTGCTAAAGGAAGGTGTCCTTGAGTGTCCTGAAATACATGTTAAGCGCCTTGAGAATAGAACACCTAATGTGTAGAGATTATAAACATATTTGGGAGACAGGTATTGAAACAGCAGTGGCTCTATTGTACAGAGCGTATACTGTGGTAGGCCTACACCCAGTTTTCTGAATTTTCAAGTTTATTTACCCCCATTTCCCTAAGACAATATAGTTAAGACTTATTTATTAAAGTAGACTCAAAATGACCTTACCTGGGATATGAATATGGAAATATTACAGCAGAACAAACACAGCAGGAAACTTCCATCAAGTATCTCCCTGTTCCACTTCCTGTCAAACCTGATCAAGGGCTTAGCCTGTTGTCACCTGGAAAACTACAGAGTGCGAACAGCCTAGCCTACCTGCCCCAGACTGAGGAGTGAGTGATGAGGAGTGTATACTATTCCCAGTGGTGTAGTTTTTCTACCTGCTGATCAGAGGGTGTGGGTGTGTGTTAATCTATTCATGAGGAAACCACAGAAGAACAGATATGTTGGTACAAGCCCACTGATACAGTGGACACACCCAACCTAGGCCATCTCAATGAGAGAGAGTATGGCTGTGGGCTGTAAGAGCCTCATAGGCTTACTGTAAGAAGTAAGAGTAATAGTAGCATTTCACACCTGTGGTATCCATTTTAATGTAACTTCAGTTACTTTATGTAGGCCTAAGATTACATATAAAACAGAATGAGGACTGAATAACCTCTATGGCAATTCATGCATCTACTAGGTTTCTTGTTAAGGCAACATGTTTTTTTTTTTCAAGGTGTCTTTGCCGTCGGAATTGGGCAAACATTCAATATCATCTTTCACCACCAATGCCTATCATTGAATTAACATGAAATAATAAAAAAAACAATGTTGTATTTTCCCCCAATATTAATGTTACTAAAATGTGGGTCAAGGACTCCCTCTAGTGTTGGGAATCTGAATGAAACTGCTCACTATATTGTTTTTCCAGCACAAACATTGACGTCACGTCAGTCACGTGGCATACGAAGCTGTTTAGCACTGCTGTCAACAAACGCCAGATACGTTGCTTTTGTCAACCTGTCTTTCACCGAATTGTCATTGAATACTTGAATCAACAGCTTTTTGTAAGTAACTAGCTAGTTAACTACACATACATTTACTAGCTAGCTAGTTTGATCCGTCACTGTTTTTATCTGCTGTGTTGTTAACGTGTTAGCTTGACTCCCAAATACTGTATGGCAAATGGCAATGGCTAGCTAACGATATTAGTCTCTAGCAAGCTAATAGCTAGATAGTTATGGTGGTTAAATGCAAGTGCTTCTGCAATAGCTAGCTACGTATATCAATATTATTGCATTACGTAGTTATAATATGTAATCATTGCATGAACTGTATTGTACTATTCATGCCATGTTTGTACAGACAGAGACTCGAGAGAAAGACAGATGGAGAGAGTGATAAAGAGCTGTAATGTTTGTACACTGAACAAAAATATAAACACAACATGTGAAGTGTTGGTCCCATGTTTCATGAGCTGTAATAAAAGATACCAGACATTTTCCATACGCACAAAAAGCTAATTTATCTCACATTGTGTGCACAAATTTGTTTCCATCCCTGTTAGTGAGCATTTCTCCTTTGCCAAGATAAACCATCCACCTGACAGGTGTGGCATATCAAGAAACGGATTAAACCACATGATCATTACACAGGTGCACCTTGTGTTGCGGACAATAAAAGGCCACTCTAAAATGTGCAGTTTTGTCACACAACACAATGCCACAGATGGGAGTGTGCAATTGGCATGTTGACTGCAGTAATCTCAACCAGAGCTGTTGCCAGATAATTAAAATAAAATAAATAATAAATAGGTCATTTAGCAGACGCTCTTATCCAGAGCGACTTACAGGAGCAATTAGGGTTAAGTGCCTTGCTCAAGGGCACATCGACAGATTTTTCACCTAGTCGGCTCGGGGATTAGAACCAGCGACCTTTCGGTTACTGGCACAATGCTCTTAACCACTAAGCTACCTGCCGCCTATTAAATGTCCATAAGCCGCCTCCAACATCATTTTAAAGAATTTGACAGTACGTCCAACCGGCCTAACAAGCGCAGACCACGTGTAATCGTGCCTGGACCACTACATCCGGCTTCTTCACCTGCGGGATCGTCTGAGACTAGCCACCCGGACAGCAGATGAAACTGTGGGTTTGCACAACCAAAGAATTTCTGCACAAACTGTCAAAAAATATCTCAGGGAAGCTCATCTGCGTGCTCGTCGTCGTCACTAGGGTCTTGACCTGACTGCATCGTTACCGACATAAGTAGGAAATGCTCACCATCGATGCCCACTGGCATGCTGGAGAAGTGTGCTCTTCACGGATGAATCCCGGTTTCAACTGTACCGGGCAGATGGCAGACAGTATGGCGTCGTGTGGGCGAGCGGTTTGCTGATGTCAATGTTGTGAACAGAGTGCCCCATGGTGACGGTGGGGTTATGGTATGGGCAGGCATAACCTACGGACAATGAACACAATTGCATTTTATCGATGGCAATTTGAATGCACAGAGATACCGTGACGAGATCCTGAGACCCATTGTCGTGCCATTCATCTGCCGCCATCACCTCATGTTTCAGCATGATAACTCTCGGCCCCATGTTGCAAGGATCTGTACACAATTCCTGGAAGCTGAAAGTATCCCAGTTCTTCCATGGCCTGTATCCTCACCAGACATGTTACCCATTGAGCATGTTTGGGATGCTCTGGATCGACGTGTACGACAGCATGTTGCAGTTCCCGCCAATATCCAGCAACTTCGCACAGCCATTGAAGAGGAGTGGGACAACATTCCACAGGCCACAGTCAACAGCCTGATCAACTCTATCCGAAGGAGATGTGTTGTGCTGCATGAGGCAAATGGTTGTCACACCAGATACTGACTGGTTTTCTGATCCACGCCCCTACCTTTTTTTAAAGGTATCTGTGACCAACAGATGCATATCTGTATTCCCAGTCATGTGAAAACCATACATTAGGGCCTAATGAATTTATTTAAATTGACTGATTTCCTTATATGAACTGTAACTAAGTAAAATCGTTGAAATTGTTGCATGTTGCGTTCATGTTTTTGTTCAGTGTAAATGAATTGTATTGTACCTCTTCTATGAGCTGAATGAAACATGAATGGAATTTACACAGCATTCTTCCTAAACGTGGCTTTTTTAAGCTATGTTTTAGCCTAATGCTTTGTTTTACAGGTCAGGAGCCCTTTGTGAGCAGCAGGAGCCCTAGGTTGAGCCACTGTAGAGAGAAGAATCAATGGTGTGCAGAGTTGTCACACCGCCTTGTGCACGCTGGATGAACGCAACGTTACTCAGCCCACAACGGTTTGTTTGTTTCACTCATAGGTTTTCTTATTGTTTTTTTGTTTCTTACATGTAGGCCTATTTTATTATTGCAAATCAATGTTACATGACACATGTAATACAACGTGACACACACAACCTTTGTTGGATTTATATAGCCTGAATTGGTTGTGCTGTATTCCATCAGATTTTGTTCTACAGCTAGTCTATATGTTTTACTTGGGCTGTGTTGCTGCTAAAACCATTCCTCCCAGTGACTGTTATCTTCCTGTCATCTATGTGTTTTCTAGGCTGCACATTTATGGCGTTTGTGAGGGTGAGGAACTGTGGAGACTTCTGCCAGGCACAGCACCAGCACCTGGTCATTGTGGACAAGTAAGCAGCCTTCAGCCAAACATATGAAGAAATACCCCACCTGAAGTCGACCAGTACTCCTGGAGAGAGAGAGGCTGATATTTCTCCAAGTATATGGCTTCGATTGAGCTAATCCAGCGACTTAGCAACCACTAAACCATTCCTGAATGGGCTAGTTGGGATTAAAAGGCTAAAGGGATACCCCCTTTCTTTCTTTCCTTTCCTTTTCAATATCCACTTTTTATTTACTTTCACCCCATTCTCGATAGCCTATATCTTTCAATAACCACCTTTATACCCAATCTATCGTCCATTTTGGAGTACTTTTCTCTACTGCTGTACTGTTCACCCTCTCGCGGAAGACTGCCTTCTCCAACTGTCTGTCAAGATGAATCGCCCTGCCCCTGTTGAGATCACCTATGAGTGTATGAAGTTTCTGATCACCCACAACCCCACCAACTCCCAGCTGGTGAAATTTATAGAGGTACAGTATTAACTCCTATAATACATATCCCCATATGCTTTGTATTCACCTAAAGCATCGTGTTATTTGAGTTTATAGCGTTTTCTTATGTCAAGACAGATTGGAATGAACTGAAAAACAGACACTGTCTTGATTACTAACCTAAAACACTTATTCTCTCTTATATGCAGGACCTCAAGGCTTTTGGGGTGCAGACACTGGTCAGAGTGTGTAATGCCACTTACGACAAAACCCCTGTGGAGCAGGAAGGCATCACTGTTGTGGTAAGACAACTTCTGTTCTCTTCTGCTGTGATTTTAACCCATCAGAGACCTTCAGATTTGGTTGGAGCTGATAACTTCAGGCATTCTGGTTCCAATTGTCCGTTGTATCTACATGACATCTAGGTCTATCTTTTTCCTTATGATGGAGGTTGCATGAAAGCATTAGGCCTATCAATTACACTACCTAATCAATTAATCCATGAATGGAGCCTAATACCAACCATATGTTTTCCTCAAACAGGATTGGCCCTTTGACGATGGTTCTTCCCCCCCTGAACAAGTCGTTGATGACTGGCTCAACCTCCTCAAGTGTAAATTCAGAGAAGAACCCGGTTGTTGCATTGCAGTGCATTGTGTGGCGGGGTTGGGTCGGTGAGTTGTCTGCCTACATGTTCAATCTATTTGCCTATTGTATCTTCTCCTTCCTTGGAATGTCTGCTTGCCACCAACACATTGGGACTTATAGCAAAAGCAGTGTGTACTGAATGAGTTATGAATAATGACCATTTAATTCTCAGATTTGTTGTATTTTATATTACACATCAACTTTCCCATCTCTACAGTACACTTGATATAATTGATATAATTTCTCTCCAGAGCCCCAGTCCTGGTAGCGTTGGCGTTGATTGAGTGTGGGATGGAGTATGAAGATGCTGTTCACTTTATAAGACAGTAAGTTCTCTCCATTGATCATATTTTGACATTTCAACCATTTTCATCTTCTTGCTACTGTGATTAAAAATGAAGATGATCTAAGTTATGATGAGCTGATTCCTGAATACGTCTTTCAATGTGACATTCAAAGTGCCATCAAAATGCCAAATCATCAAAATCAATAACGATTGCCATCAAAATGCAAAATCATCTAAATCAAAAACGATTTCCATCAAAATGCCATCCTTTTTTCTTCTCTCAGAAAGAGACGTGGAGCCATCAACTCAAAACAACTAATGTACCTCGAAAACTACAAACCCAAGATGCGTCTCCGCTTCAAAGATGCTAATGGACAAAATTGCTGCATCCAGTAAGAAGATGAGCAGTATTGTCAAGATTTACTGAAAAAGGAAATGGATTACTATAAGAACAGTTATTGATTATACTCAAAGAAAAAAAAACTATTTTTTATTGATAACTAAATAGTCAAATTGAATTTGATTAAAGTAAACAATGTGAAAAGACCAGCTAGAGATTAATCTCAGAGTTGTTAGCGCTGATGTTTTCCTCAAATACTGTAGTTGTGAATCATTAAAGCAAGATTTCTAAATTGTTACTAGTTGTTGGTGGTATGGTCATGTACAAGTTATGCAAAGGCTAAAATAAGTGTATTTAATAAGTCTGTTTAACAGCCTTTGTTATTTTTTTTCAAAACATTATCATCAAGGCACGAGCACAAATCTGCCCAAATACTGTATTTACCTGGTACTTTCTATGAAATGGTGATAAAAATGTGTATTCTATTTTCTGGTAAATACTTAAAAAAGTCAATTATCTCAACATATTTTGATAACTGCCTGATACTAAATGGTGCCTAGTCGGGATTATTTGAATGAATCATGAATCTAACGTAATTTAGGCCTTTAGTTATTATCATGGGATTACCATTTTACTATGTAATTTCAGAGTAAATACTGTAACGACCCTGGGTTTATGAGCGCGGATATTGACTCTGCCATAGGAGCATGCTTTTGTGGCATAGTTGATGGTCGCGCAGGGCTACGGGCCAGAAGGTTGAGGGTTTGAGCCGCACTCCTTGCCTGTTTCATTACATTGTAGTAGACCAGCCAACCTGGAAAAAGTGCTTGCTTTTCTTTTGCTTGTTGAAGGCTGTCATCCATGCTAGATCAAACAGTGATGGGATGATACACAAAGTTAGGCCGGATAACATGTTCAATTTGGATTTTTAAGGCAATTTGCAAGGGGTTAAAGGTACATTCTGGTGAAAATGGGCATAATGAAAATAGTAATAGATTTAGGTCAAATATCCTGAAATTCTCAACCAAAACTGAGTGGATTATCAAACATAAACACTTAGACTATGGAATGGATGCATTAATAGTTACTTTTCATACGGTTATTATGCTTTCTGGTCTGTAGCACCACCAAGGACCCTTCTCAGATGACGTATACCCTCTGAGATAACTGCGGGAGACCGCACTAAACCAGGAGAACTTGAATCTGACTTTCTGGGCCAGAGATATTGCAACTGTAATGTCATTTTTAAGGGGTAAAATGTACAAGCAGCCAAATAGGATAGTCACAGATTCTGACAACATTTACTGAACATATAAGATGACTATTTAATCCTAAATACATACAGTGCATTCGGAAAGTATAAAGACCCCTTGACTTTTTCCACATTTTGTTACGTTACAACCTTATTCTAAAATTGATTAAATATTTATTTTTCCTCATCAATCTACACACAATACCCCATAAGGAAGCGAAAACAGGTTTCTAGAAATGTTTGCAAATTGATTAAAAATAAAAAAAACAGAAACCTTATTTCCATAAGTATTCAGACTCTTTGCTATGAGACTCGAAATTAAGCTCAGGTGCATCCTGTTTCCATTGATCATCCTTGAGATGTTTCTACAACTTGATTGGAGTCTAGCTGTGGTAAATTCAATTGATTGGGCATGATTTGGAAAGGCACACACCTGTCTACAGTGAGGGAAAAAAGTATTTGATCCCCTGCTGATTTTGTACGTTTGCCCACTGACAAAGACATGATCAGTCTATAATTTTAATGGTAGGTTTATTTGAACAGTGAGAGACAGAATAACAACAACAAAATCCAGAAAAACGCATGTCAAACATTTTATGAATTGATTTGCATTTTAATGAGGGAAATAAGTATTTGACCCCTCTGCACAACATGACTTAGTACTTGGTGGCAAAACCCTTGTTGGCAATCACAGAGGTCAGACGTTTCTTGTAGTTGGCCACCAGGTTTGCACACATCTCAAGAGAGATTTTGTCCCACTCCTCATTGCAGATCTTCTCCAAGTCATTAAGGTTTCGAGGCTGACGTTTGGCAACTCGAACCTTCAGCTCCCTCCACAGATTTTCTATGGGATTAAGGTCTGGCGACTGGCTAGGCCACTCCAGGACCTTAATGTGCTTCTTCTTGAGCCACTCCTTTGTTGCCTTGGCTGTGTGTTTTGGGTCATTGTCATGCTGGAATACCCATCCACGACTCATTTTCAATGCCCTGGCTGAGGGAAGGAGGTTCTCACCCAAGATTTGACGGTACATGGCCCCGTCCATCGTCCCTTTGATGCGGTGAAGTTGTCCGTCCCCTTAGCAGAAAAACACCCCCAAAGCATAATGTTTCCACCTCCATGTTTGACGGTGGGGAGCCCCAGGCCGAGGGAGATTGACAGTTATTTTGTGTTTCTTCCATTTGCGAATAATCGCACCAACTGTTGTCACCTTCTCACCAAGCTGCTTGGCGATGGTCTTGTAGCCCATTCCAGCCTTGTGTATGTCTACAATCTTGTCCCTGACATCCTTGGAGAGCTCTTTGGTCATGGCCATGGTGGAGAGTTTGGAATCTGATTGATTGATTGCTTCTGTGGACAGGTATCTTTTATACAGGTAACAAGCTGAGATTAGGAGCACTCCCTTTAAGAGTGTGCTCCTAATCTCAGCTCGTTACCTGTATAAAAGACCTGGGAGCCAGAAATCTTTCTGATTGAGAGGGGGTCAAATACTTATTTCCCTAATTAAAATGCAAATCAATTTATAACATTTTTGACATGCGTTTTTCTGGATTTTTTTGTTGTTATTCTGTCTCTCACTGTTCAAATAAACCTACCATTAAAATTATAGACTGATAATTTATTTTTCAGTGGGCAAACGTACAAAATCAGCAGGGGATCAAATACTTTTTTCCCTCACTGTATATACAGTTGAAGTCGGAAGTTTACAGACACTTAGGTTGGAGTCATTAAAACTTGTTTTTCAACAACTCCACAAATGTTTTGTTAACAAACTATAGTTTTGGCAAGTCGGTTAGGACATCTACTTTGTGCATGACACAAGTAATTTTTCCAACAATTGTTTACAGACAGATTATTTCACTTATAATTCACTGTATCACAATTCCAGTGGGTCAGAAGTTTACATACACTAAGTTGACTGTGCCTTTAAACAGCTTGGAAAATTCCAGAAAATGATGTCATGGCTTTAGAAGCTTCTGATAGGCTAATTGACATCATTTGAGTCAATTGGAGGTGTACCTGTGGATGTATATCAAGGCCTACCTTCAAACTCAGTGCCTCTTTGCTTGACATCATGGGAAAATCAAAAGAAATCAGCCAAGACCTCAGAAAAATGTTTGTAGACCTCCACAAGTCTGGTTTATCCTTGGGAGCAATTTCCAAACGCCTGAAAGTACCACGTTCATCTGTACAAACAATAGTACGCAAGTATAAACACCATGGCACCACACAGCCGTCATCCCGCTCAGGAAGGAGACATGTTCTGTCTCCTAGAGATGAACGTACTTTGGTGCGAAAAGTGCAAATCAATCCCAGAACAACAGTAAAGGACCTTGTGAAGTTGCTGGAGGAAACGGGTACAAAAGTATCTATATCCACAGTAAAATGAGTCCTATATCGACATAACCTGAAAGGCCGCTCAGCAAGGAAGAAGCCACTGTTCCAAAACCGCCATAAAAAAGCCAGACTACGGTTTGCAACTGCACATGGGGACAAAGATCGTACTTTTTGGAGAAATGTCCTCTGGTCTGATGAAACAAAAATAGAACTGTTTGGCCATAATGACCATTGTTATGTTTGGTGGAAAAAGGGGGACGCTTGCAAGCCGAAGAACACCATCCCAACCGTGAAGAACGGGGGTGGCAGCATCATGCTGTGGGAGTGCTTTGCTGCAGGAGGGACTGGTGCACTTCACAAAATAGAATTATGTGGATATATTGAAGCAAATCTCAAGACATCAGTCAGGAAGTTAAAGCTTGGTCGCAAATGGGTCTTCCAAATGGACAATGGCCCCAAGCATACTTCCAAAGTTGTGGCAAAATGGCTTAAGGACAACAAAGTCAAGGTATTGGAGTGGCCATCACAAAGCCCTGACCTCAATCCTATAGAAAATTTGTGGGCAGAACTGAAAAAGCGTGTGCGAGCGAGGAGAACTAAAAATCTGACTCAGTTACACCAGCTCTGTCAGGAGGAAAGGGCCAAAATTCACCCAACTTATTGTGAGAAGCTTGTGGAAGGCTACCCGAAATGTTTGACCCAAGTTAAACAATTTAACGGCAATGCTACCAAATACTAATTGAGTGTGTGTAACTTCTGACCCACTGGTAATGTGATTAAAGAAATAAAAGCTGAAATAAATCATTCTCTCTACTATTATTCTGATATTTCACATTCTTAACATAAAGTGGTGATCCTAACTACCTGACCTAACCTAAGACCTACGAATTTTTACTAGGATTAAATGTCAGGAATTGTAAAAAACTGAGTTGAAATGTATTTGGCTAAGGTGTATGTAAACTTCCGACTTCAACTGTAAGGTCCCACAGTTGACAGTGCATGTCAGAGCAGGAATTATCCATATACCTCCAAGACATGATTGTGTCGAAGCACAGATCTGGGGAAGGGTACCAAAACATTTCTGCAGCATTAAAGGTCCCCAAGAACACAGTGGCCTCTATCATTCTTAAATGGAAGAAGTTTGGAAACACCAAGACTCTTCCTAGAGCTGGCCGCCTGGCCAATCTGAGCAATCGGGGGAGAAGGGCCTTGGTCAGGGAGGTGACCAAGAACCCGATGGTCACGCTGACAGAGCTCCAGAGTTCCTCTGTGGAGATGGGAGAACCTTCCAGAAGGACAACCATCTCTTCAGCACTCCACCAATCAGACCTTTATGGTGGGCCAGAAGGAAGCCACTTCTCAGTAAAAGGCATGACAGCCCGCTTGGAGTTTGCCAAAAGGCACCTAAAGGACTCTCAGACCATTAGAAACAAGATTCTCTAGTCTGATGAAACCAAGATTTTACTCTT